GGATTGCGCAATTAGGTGATGAATCCATTCCAGAAAACACCTCACAACATACGCTGTAGTTCTCTAGGGAGGCCTCTTGTAGGAAGAATCCTTGTTAAGAATAAAGGGCAAACATGCTAACTTCCTACTTGAATAAATATCGACGTAGTAATTTAGTAACCAGAGCTCCACAGTAATTGGAAATGTAGTTCCCTCTCATTCTGCCATTAATTCCTTTCCATCATGATAGTTTTCATGGAGTAGTTTGAAAATCAATCAGATGAGCTCAAGGGCAGAAATCAGCTGATCAAGAAATATGAAATAAGAATGAAGACTGATGAGATGTAAAGGAATATGCATGGACTCCAGAGAGATAACACTCAGGCATCTGTTAGAGTCTGAAGCAGCAGACTATTCCTAAGCTTCATCACAGGGAAAAGATTAAGATAAATGTGTGGAGATGTTTTTAAAACTCTTGTCTTCTTTTTGTATGATTTATTCCAGCTGGTAGAAGTAAAATATCATTTGGTGATGAGGAAATGTTCGTTGTGCTTTTATTACTGCTTACAAGGAAATGAAAAAATAGTTGATACTAAATGCTTTAACAGCTGAAACCAGCACAAGGGGTTGACTTATGAAAAGTAGGATAGCAAAATTCTGCTGAAGGGAAGAAAAAGCAGAATGTCCTAATGTACAGAATGTGGTACAAGTAAAGGTGAATCAAGCTCTTTAAAATGATAACCCATGATTTAATATTAGCAATTAGGGCAGTTTAATGTATATTTACACAATATTCAGTGATACTCCAGACAGGTCAGTATAAGAAGCATAAAAGCTCATTAGTGGACCATTTTATCCAGGGTAGTTTATCTGCTTCACAGCTGATCAATAAAGGTGAAGCATCATGCTAAGGCAGGTGTACTTCTTCCAGTTATGAAGATAGGTCACTTAAAAGTGCTTTATGACAGACAGACATGTTCACAGCAAACAGACCTTACTACACAGAGAAATACTTCAATGTGCAAGGAATAACCTGAAATCCAGTAAATGTGGTGGAAAATGATTGTATAAAAACATTTAAGGAGTTCAGCCTCCAACCTGTGTTTTCAGAAAAGATTCATGAAGACAAGGATGTTTAAAAACATACATATTGAAAGACCTATGCAAATAAAGCATATTTAGTATTTCTGAAAAAGTATGAAACTGATTTGCTTCATATTACCTATGCAGAATGGGAAGTATTCTCAAGTTACCAGTATATTGATTTTGCAGAGACCAAAAACTAGAAAATGGCAGATTCATATACATAGACTAATGGAAAAGGGACAATATGTGTCTATGAAGTTGGTATACAACACTGTAAGAAACCAGCATGTTTCTCAGAAATGAGACAATGGCTTGCACCAACAGACAGAAATGAAAAAAATTTGACTAGTCGAGATTTTTCATTATACAGATCAGAAAACATTGTGTGCTTGACAGAAGACAAGAAGGAGTTGGCACACTTTATTCCAGTCTTAGTTTTCCTTCTAATCACATGTAAACTGTGAATTTAACTGGAATTCTAAATAAATGAAATAAGTAAAGGCAGAGGCATAGAGGGAAGATACTGGAATTAGAAAGCTACAAGACATTAGATGACAGAAGACACTACTAGCAGTGACACAAAGACACTGCTAGCTAGCAGCAGAAACAGATCTATTACTGTCGCCACAAGAGAAAAAAAAAAAATGCTGTACCATTTTCTCAGTTCATAGAAAAGCAATAGGCTTAGTGTCAAGCAGACTGAGATTATCTATCAGTCATCAGCCTGTATGACAAAAAAAGGAACTTCAGAAAACACCATAACTATTTAGATTTAACAAACACAAAAAACAAGATTGAGGTTTTCATACATGTGAAGGAATCACAGCCTACTATAGTTCCCCACAAAGAATGACAACTAACAAAACCAGCGTAGAACACATACATGTTCATTCATATGTTCATTTTTGCATAACAGTGCAAAACCTATAATGTCTACATAAACAGATGACTCATCATTTTGGGGGAGGACTACAAGACGAAAAGGACATAGAAAAGCCCTACAGCTAACAAATCAATCTCCCTCCTAGCTTTTTGAGTTGAGTATGCAAAGATAGCAGCTTTTTATACCCGGTTGTCCTTATATCTGGTTGGAAGGAAAATCCAATGCTCTTGCAAACAAAGGAAAAGACTAATGAAGATTTATGTTACTTTTTTTCTCCATTTATGCCTAATGTTACTCTTTTCAGCAATTCTCTCTCAAAGATTCTTGAATCTTCTACTGATTTCTTCCACTTTCCCTAAATATGACCATACCACTAATTAATGAGTGAAATCCAAGTACCATAAAAAGAATTGTACTTTCCATTTTCATTGTACCAAGCTCTTATACCCCAATACCATCTGGAAGACAATGGTAAAACAATAAAATCATGAAACATTTGACAGAAAATGGGAGGTTTAAATCTAAAGACAAATATTCTACACTGCATACTTTGATGTAATTACAAAACATCATATCATAAAAGACATGCTAAGTACTGCTCCAAACATAAATACACCTTATTACAAAACACGGTAATTATTATGAAACACTGGTAGTTAAACATTCATTATGGAAGGATTGTTATGAAATAGAAATCTTAATAAGACAATCTAGGTGGAACCTATTAATTTAGTCGCATACAGTCCAACAGTTTCATGACACCAGGACTGAAAAATACATCATCAGCTGTGTAATACCTAACTTATAATCTGTACTGAAAATAAATAGCCAGCACTATACTGCAAATTCCTCTTCACTACCACACTTCAATTAGCAGTAGCTTCCTTTACCTGATGCATACGTTTTGTGAATTCTGTTCTCAAAAGCCTCCTACTTTTGAATATCTTTTTTTTTGTCTCTTTAGTATTCAGTGGGAGATTTCATTTTTAGCTTACACCTGTTTCCCTATATGAACTATAGTGTTAGAAAATGCTATTACATACTTTTAATTCATTCTACATTATGAATAAAATCTGTAGGTTATCTTACATAATCCTAGATCTTTTATTTCTAAATTGATACCAATATTTGATTAAGCAATTAAATATTGTTGAAAAGCTTTAGATATGAAGGCTGATATAAACAGGCATAAAAAAAAGGTATTTTATACAACTTTATCAAAAAACCCAAAAAACCTCCTCTGCTCAGTATAAAACATATTTCATCTTGCTTTACAATGAAGACAATGCTTCCAAGTGCATAAGGAATTTATGTTGCTGGTCACAAAAACAAGTAAGTGAAAAAAAGTTCAGCTATAGTGGCCTACTATGTAGCTCTTCTGTTTAAAAAGGAAAGTTCTTCCCAGTTCTGCTAGTGAGATCAGGTGTCTGAATAGCTTAGCAAAAAAAAGGTTTCAAGAAAACATCTTTCCTACAAAATATGAAAAGACGCATTTTCAAAGTAGGAGCTCAGCCATATGACTTCTGCTAACATTACTGGGAGCTGCCTATGCACTGTGCATCATGCTGAAAAACTCCTGCAGTGATAACCATAGGTTTATAACTTTTGGACATACATATAAACATTTTACATGAGGTGTTTCAAAAGGTAATATTTGTGATTTATGCTCAACTCTGCTTTGAGAAGTATCTGTTTCACAGGAACACCTCAGAAATTAATTTTCTCTCTGGTTATGTAGTCCACTAAAATCTACTGTTCTTTCAAGAAACTTTCAGTAGAAGTCTGGCTTTTTAAAGCAGACTTCTAAAGAAGGCACATAAGCGAAGTTATTATGTGAAGTTATTAATTACAAAATATGTTTCAGTGTTATCTATATTACTTCAATATCTCATGTATAGGTGATCTTGTTAAATTGTTTTTAAACCTGTTTCCCCTTAGTAGAGGAACAATATAATTCCTCCAAAATGAAGCAGACAGCATCAGGGAAGGATGGAGAACCCTGCTGTCAACTACAGCACAATAGGTAAAGAAAAAAATGAAGTTATTCTTTGTTACACAGAATGAAATCATAAAAATCTTCATGCTGAAGTGAGATTAAATTATCAAATACAAAAATAGTAATAATAATAATAATAATAAAATCTTATTAAAGAGATTCAAGCCAATAATACTAATATGTATTTGATTTAAAAAAATATTTTAAAGTGACCACCAGGAGGAATCTGCAAAATTTACATCCCTGGGAAATGCTGATTTACTGTTATAATATTTTTTTTTTTTTACTGTCACAGCAAAAGTTAAAGTTACATCATGTAAGGCTATTTCTGGGAGCATCTGGAGTCAATCTTAATTACTTAAAAAGGAAAAGGTAAATATAAAGGGAATTTTTGACAAAAGATGCTTTTCTCCTTCTCTAAAGAGAGCCCTATATATTAAATCAATTTATAATTTAACAATTATTGTATGGAGTTTCTTAACTCCAAAAGGTCAACTGAACATGCTTCCAAATAGTCTCAGTTTTTAAACTATGTGAAGTATGTCAGGGATTTTATCTAGCAGACAGTTAAAAACTAAATAGTCTTACCCTACTTCTAAGATAATAATCTACATTAAGTGATTTGTTTTATAACAGGTAGAGGCTCAGTTTTGACCTCTAGGATTAACATGGGCAGCTAAGTACTCAATTCGAGATTAAGTAGCATAGCATCAAATGAAATCAGCCTAACAAAATAAAATATGTCAACCGCTGTCTTTTTGAATACAGCATAATAGGGAAAAAACATTTTATAAACTTTCTAGTGTCTCTAAATTTATAAATAAAAGGAGAAACTTGTTAGTATACTCAAGACTTAGTGATATAACAAACTGGAGACTTAGTATGGTGGTGGAGAAAATTAATAGTGAGAACCCTCATCATTAATTATTCTTCTGTACATCGTGAAGTTAAAATATAAGAGTATGAAAGTAAGAGAATTTTTGTGACTTTTGACAATTATTAGTAAGAAAAAGATTATAACAATTGCCAAAAAAATCACAAAAGTTGACATGTTACCTGGCTATGACAAAGAGCACACAACTGACACCCAAGTAAGCCAGCAGAATATACATCCAGATATCAGGGGAGAGAGGATTCAGGAAGGAGAAGACGCCGGGGTTTGTACCATTGGGCTTGCGGTACAAAATACTTATTCCAAGAGTCATAAAGGGCTTGGAAAAGTCGATGACCTTCTCTCGAACATAGGTAATTGCCAATGGTGCAACTGCAAGGTCAGCTTTCTGTTAACAGAAATACAAAAAGAGAAAAAAGCTGTAAGTCAGAAGAAACACGTTGAAGCAGACGATCAAATTAGGCAAAACTCAAAGTTCATATGGAAGAGATTTTTTCTTGTACTAGGTAGGCTGAAATTTAAAACTCTCTTCTCCCTATAATGAAGGAAACAGATTTATTCTGCTTCCTGCTTGCTAAACTGACATAGCACTTACAGAATATCTAAAGCATTATTACAGGAGTAGAAATGAAGAAAAATACTGCTTCCTGCAGAAAGTATGAACATCCATTATCTTATCTTCTAATACTTTTTAAAATGTACATATCAAGATATGTCTTCCCTCTGTCATTCCTTCACTGTGCCCTTTAGAAGCTAACATATTTGTGAAGCAGATGTGAATATGCTTTTACAAGTGCAGGGAAAGGGCCAGGAAGCAGTTTTCTTATTTTAGCATAGAAGTATTGGTTCAAAATGAAGAACTTTTAAAAATGGGAAATGATACACCTGAAAGGCTGCTTCACAGAGTACAGCTGTTCTTACTAGTTTACAAAAATCACTATGAAACTTTTAGATAACTATCAATTGTAATATTTAAAATTAAATCATACAATATGATACAAAAGTATTTTGTTAATTTACATGTAGTTTTTGTTATTACAGTAATAATTCATAGGAGATTAGTGAACGATCTATAATATTTTTTATTCAAAAGTTAATGGAAATCATAAAGACAAGGAATCTACACCATCTACTTCTTAATCTGTCAACACCTCTTGAAAGACTACTCTTCATGTGTCTATGTGTAGTTCTGTGTGCGTGTACCTATGCACAGATGAAAGAGGGAAGTTCAGAATGAGAAATTATACAGTACAAGATTTGACAAGTTGTAAACTAAGAATTCCTTGTAAAATATATGTAAATATAGGTATGTAATGACAGAAATGGTACAAGTACCATAAAATACTTCTATACAAGTAACATAGCTGCAAATAACACCATTTTCAGAATACCTGTTCTAAAACAAGATACAAAGATTTTATTCCCTATAAAATCATATAAATTCATACACTTACATATTTTGCTCAGTTGGTATCATGTATACTGTGGAACACTCACAATCCCACACAATATTCTAGCATTTCAAAGTTCTACTATAGTCTATTGTTATGAGAATTAACATATCATTAGATCTACCCTAGTAAAATACTTCTATGTTACAATGTGAAACTCTTTTGGTTCTGTCCATTTAATTTGGTAGGGTTTACTGGTCAAAAACATGACATACACTTAATTTCCACTGGTGTTCAGAACTTATAGGTATTAATCAGACCAGTAAAGCTTTATTCCACAGCAGCTGAGTTATCTATTACATACTTTTGATGACATTCCAGATGATTCAGAAAGAAAACACAAAAGTAAGAAACTAAAACTAATTTGAATTAAAAGTCATAAGTCAACATGTAGAAGTTGGAGAAACATAACAATTCAAGCTATTAGTAGTTTGTGAGGCAACTAGAAGTTCTTGCCATAAGAGTCTGAAGCCAATTCACTAGAGACTGTCAGAAGATAAAACTTTGCAAAGATAGAGAAAGCAGATGTAGATCTTCTGGAATTCTATTGGCAGTTGTGAATTTTGGTCTTAAAACAGTAACAGGTTTGAATAACAAACCCTTTCTTTTAACAAATGCATTTGGAAATCCAGTCCTTGGTCATTAGATGAAAAACAAAACCATATACAGTTGAATACTGTTTGTAACTATCTGCAGTGGAGGAAAGCATTAGGGAAGTTCATAGATCTTGCAGATGAAATTAGAAAAATAACCAAACATGAAATAATGCATGTCTCATGACAGAACAGGTTGATCATATATTCCAGCTTGGAAAACAGAGATCCAAAATGTAGGTCTATATCTTGCTATCTCAAGATTTTCTTCAGAGCTTTTGTAAGTCTGTTTCTATATACTTGAACTAGTTAATATATGACCATAAGAACAACAACAAAAAAAGAAGTCTTTACTGATTGAGGAAACAAAAATCTGCTAGAATTACTGACATAAAAACGTAGTACTGCTGCATGTGTCCACTTTTGCTAATATCTGTTATCTCCAAAATATTCAATTCTCTTGGCAATTGATTCATTCAGAAACAGCACTACTTGAAAGGAAGTGAAGTAAGAGGCTGTTTCCTGATGTGCAATACCAGGTCTCCTACACTCTTCTACAATGAAGATATACAAATAAGAGAATTCTCTTTTGGTAATTTTTCAGAATGAATTGGAGAGGAGTGGTGTAAAACTAGGATTTTATCAATCTACATTTATTATCATTAACAAATGATTACATCCTAAAATGGTTTTCTGATAAGTTCCATAACAAACGATATTTGTCTCACTTGAGAATGACATATAATTCCATTTTTTAGAATGAACGTATGTATGATTTTATTCTTTAAAGGAAAAAGTTTATCTATCTGATAAGCATAGCCTAAACAGCACTTACTCTTGACCTTAGAGTACTTGAGATGAAGGCCTTTTTATGACAGCATTCAAGGACTGCTGAGGATAAGCTAGTTGCTACAGAGAAAAATTATGCGCCAATTAAAGGTTACAATAGCACTTAGAAACAAGTAAGTCTGACAAGGACATTTCAACAGAAGGCACAGTCCTGAGCAAAATGGAAGAGTTGTACAGCAACACAAACAGTAGCCTTACCATGTGATGAAGGAGCGCACTGCAGACAATAATGCCAACAGTAAATGGCAGAGACTGGAGAAAAATACTCCTCACAATAAATTCTTTCTTTAATTAGGTCATGTGTGAGGGAATCACAATCCAGCATTTACTCCATCATTCAAAGATATGGCATGATAAACTGGAGAATGGCACTCACATTCTACATTGATTTTGACAGTTTTTCAAAGGGAGGTTCTCTAACAAGGAAGAGAATTTCCAGGACAAGAGGGAGGAAGAAACAAAATTTATCATACCCTATAGGACACTTTTCAAAGTCAACTGAACCACTGATAGTTATTCTCACCCTGCTTTCTCAAAAAGCATCAGATATTTTGAACATTACTTTTAACAGTAAATTCTTGGTACTTGATTTTCTATCTTCATACCCCATCTTAAAGGGTAATGGTATTTTCTCCTTTCATACTATCTTATGCATTCTCAGTATATTACTGAATTACTCTGTGAACAGGGATTGCCAGACCTTCCTTTCTTTTTGTGCCATGTGAGAACTGCACATACTCTCTCCACAGCTGTGTAAAGATTTCCCTGTGTTTCTACCATGTGCGATCGTAGGATGTTTACCTATCAACTAACAACTCAAGGTATACACAGTATCTACAGAAGAACCTAAGGTGTAGTAAAATCCTCCTGCTTTGCTTCTTCATTTACATTTTGTTTCCAATCAGCTAGTTGACTATTTTTCATAAAATAACATTTAAAGAAAAAAGGGAGACCTTTTTTTCTTTCAGTTGCACAGGGCTGAAACTTGGTACAAAACCTCTGAGAAGACAATTTTAAAATTACACTGAATTTAATCTATGCATGCAGATACAAAGAACTTCAGTAAGAAATCTGCATATAAATGTTGAGAAGCACATGGTCCATAGCATGTGTAGTAAGTTAGTATTCATAGATATTGATATTTTTTATGTGAAAATTAACTCTATAAAATATAACCCAAGGAAAGTGACACATTAATTTTTGCAGAAGTTGAATTTTGAAAGCATTTTATAGCCTCTACTAATAAAGTTGGCGAAAGGAAAAACAAATGCTGATTGAATTTTCTTTTGATGATCTTTTTCTGAAAAACTTTTGTTTCACCTATTTTATTCAAAAGAATGAAGAGTTTAAATACAATCTAGACATAGCAATCACAAAATGGCTAGTAGTTATTTTTAATTAGATTCTACAACTACAGAATATTTCACCATAATAATGTAGTTCTTCAGCCTATGTAAATGGACTCTCCTGGTGAGAATTTGCTGATAACATTTTGCATTGATTTAGAAACCACTTATATTGAAAATACAGGGGGACTCATACAGCTATATCCATTCTCAGTTGTTTATACAGTCAGTCAGTACAACCATATTGTGATTACACAATATAAACAAAAGGACACATACACTGGAAATGCATTTCAGTAATTTTACTTCTATACAGTCAGCAATGCACTTACTGCCTGTAACTATTTTTTAAAATAAAGGAAGATACTTTTTTTGAAAGGAAAACTTCATAAAGATTCTTTTTAATCCACTGTGTCTAATCTTCAGCCTTAGATACAAAGTCAATACATAAAATTCTTCAGCTACCTCATATTTTTGGACTGTTAACCTGAGACCTGAATTCCAGTTACATTCCAATTGGAAAAATGCATTTCTAAGCTAAACAGAAGGTGTCTAATGCCCAGATTCGGTTCTTTAAATGCATTCAAATGGGCTCTTAATATACAGAGAGCTTATGCATTATTCCTGTTCATAGAAGTGCATTTCCTTGCCACTCATTTGAAAAACTAAGATCTGTAGTTTGCCTTTCAGCCTGTGATCTATCCTAAACTACCTTGTTCATGCTGCTACATATAGAAAATTTCACACACTGTGAAAAGCTTTTGGTCTTAACAAAAGATCTTAATTTCTTTTTGAAACCACCAGGACTCTATTAGGGCTTTATTGCTATTTTTTTATTTCAACCAGCTATTTGCTTTATTTTGGTATAAATTGCTTCTCACGTTTTTCACGATTCAGGTGGGAAGAGACATCATGAGCTCTTTAGTCCAGTCTCCTGTTCAAAGCATCTACATGATCAGACCAGGTGGCTCTGGGCTTTATCCAGTTAGTTTTGAAAATCTCCGAGGATAGAGACTACGTAACTTCTCTGGATAACCTATTCCACTGCTTGTGTGTCCACACAGTGAAAAAGTTTCTACAGACACAAAGTGCAGCAGATTGTTTAGAGAGGTTAGCAATTTCCATCCTGGGAAATTTTCAGTGTATAGC